TAGTTGTTAGTTTTTTTTAAAAAAGCCAACAGTACAGTATAATAAACTCCCGTGTACCAATGGCCCAGCCTTGCCAACTTTTGACTGATGTCCAATCTTCTTTTACCTGTACCTCTATCCACTTTCCCCTCTCGAATTATCTTGAGCCAAATCATAGATGTATTTTATCTATAAATATTTCAGGGTAGAACTGCCCCCTGGGTGCCCAAGGCTGTTATCTTTACGGAAGCAGATCTCACACCTTTTTCCCACAGAGCAGCTGGTGGGTTTGAATTGCCAATCTTACGGTTAACAGCCAAGCGCTTAACCACTGTGCCACCAGGCTTTTGAAACCACAGTCATGCCACCATTGTGGTTAGGTGCCATCAAGTTGGTTCTGACTCATAGCAACCCTGTGTACAACAGAACAAAACACTGCCCAGTCCTGCGCCGTACTCACAACGTTGCTATGCTTGAGCCCATTGTTGCAGCACTGTGTCAATCCATCTCGTTGAGGGTCTTCCTCTTTTTCACTGACCCTCTACTTAATATCAAATATCTAGTCAGTGTTCCAGTTTCCAGTACTCTTTTAAATGACTTGTTTGTTTATAATTAAGATCCAGATGTGGCCCATACCTTGTGATTTGATGTGCCTCTAAAGTCTCGCTTCATCTTTAGATTCCACTCTCCTTTCTTCCCCCCTTGTAGTTTATTGGTTGGAGAAATTAGGTTGGTTGTTTAGCCAAAATATTTAATCTCCCTCTCTTGCCTGATTCTTCATCAGTAAAATGTGAATAATAGTACTAGCTACCATTTAAGGCTGCTGTTTGGATTAAATGAGTTAGTAAGTGCGAAGTGGTTAGAACAGTGCCTGGCACATAGTAAGTACTTGGTTAGTAGGAGGTGTTTTCAAGGCTTAGAAACCCAGCCCTTAACTGGTTAACTGGTGAGCTTAGAGATTGCCTTCAGGTCCGGCTGAATCCACGTGCTTCAGTGAATGTGGAGTCTTTCTCATTCTCCTCTCCGCCCAGCCTGTCCGAGTGTGGGTGTCATTCTCTGGCAGACACTCTCCACATGGTGGCAGAGCCATCCACCAAGAGCGACCTGCGGCAGGCTTACTGCCTCCTCCATCTGCCATCTCAGAAGGCAAGAGAACCTTTCTTCCAATGTCCCAAAGGGTAGTCGACCCCAGGTGGGATTACTTGCTCCCCCATCATGGGCGAGCCAATCCCTGTGTCTAGCAAATCCTCCTGGCTAAGAGCTTCACCAGGTGTGGGCAGGACCTTCACCACAAGAAAACGGGAAGGGATACCAAGAGGCAGAAACAGAAGACTCTTGTAGCTGTTCAGCATTGTTGTAATACATAGCAACTGCTGGAATTTGTACATTCTGGTTGGTAACCAGCCTAGAACCAAAATTGACTCATTCGTTTATTCAACAAAAATGTCTGAGCACTCTGTGCCCCGGACTCTTCCAAATGCTGGGGGCACATGAGTGACCAGCAGAGGCGAGGTCCCTCCTCAGAGCCTTACGTAAGAATTATTTATTATATAATGGTTTCTGGGCCCTTTAACAACAAGAAAAAGAAAACGCACGTTCTGTGGAGCTTTTTTTAAAATGATCCAACGAACACTATTTTCTTTATTTTAAAAAATAACATTTCTCATAGTATCGCCTGTTCTATCCTTAAGAAATAGCATTCAAATTTGAACCTGTTAATAGCATGTTGGTCAATTTTAACCTCTCAGATGGAATTTAGATGTCGAGTTATTAGTAAGTGATATCTTATACCCACACGAGGAGGCCTGGTGGCGCTGTGGTTAAGCATTCTGCTGCTAACCAAAAGGTCCATGGTTTGAACCCACCAGCTGTTCCTCAGGAGGAAGATGTGGCAGTCTGCTTCTGTAAAGATTCACAGCGTTGGAAACCCCATGGGGCAGTTCTGCTCTGTCCCGTAGGGTCACTGTGAGTCGGAATCAACTCGACGGCAGTGGGTTCTGTTCATACACAGGCTGCAATGCAGTTTGACGGTCGTCACACAGTCCTATGTTCCTGTGTATGTGGACAGCTGAAATGTCCAAGATTTTCTAGACGATCAGAATGGGAGAGGGTTTTTAAATTATAGCTTGAAATATCTAAATGCAATGCAGTAACACAATATTCCTAATCATTTAAATAATCATCCATAATAAGTTTTGAATACAGTCAAAGGATGTTAGAAATCCAAAGACATCATTCCCAAGTCATAATCCACCTTTTTTTAGAAATGTTTAAGAATGAAATTATAATCCTTCCTTATCTAAGGTGGCTAAGACATTTGAAGTAAAAAGATATTCGAGACTGTTCATAGGGAGAAAAGCTTCACTCTCTGAAATGTGACCAGTCCTCCCTGCTTTGCTTTGAAGGTTTCCTGACAAAATAAATCAGCCAGGT